GAAGGGCTCAAGTAGAAAGATGTTTTGAAAATGATAATGGCAACATATGTACAAATGTGCTTGACACAATGGATATATGTATGGATTGTGATAAGAGCTGTAAGAGCCCCCAATAAAATAAAAAAATTAAGAGTTACAGTTTTGAATTCAGCCTTTCTAACTCTAATTCTAGATATTTGTGCTCAAACAAATCATATCCTCTCCTCGCCTTGAGTTACCTCATCCATGAAGAGGACAACGACAAGAATGAAATGGCATAAGGCACTGAGGAGAATTTCTGGCATAAATCCAATGGCAATTACTTTGATACCCTTTCAAAAGTAAAATGTGTATTCAATATAAGTCACAATGCTAAATATCCTTATATACAAAGAACTCCCTTAGTCAACAAATATGTTAAAGAAACAAAGGAACTCAACAACTGAATCACTGAACAAGAAAGGAAATATACTTTTTAAAAAACTGTAAACTCTAATAAGAAAAGTACCAAAAGAGTCATCATTATGCATATGCATATAATAGTCATATATATCATATTCACGTAAAGATATGTATCATATTCACAAAATAGGTAAAGATTATTGATATCTTATTTTAAAATGGAAATGCAGACTGTTATAATCTCTGAAAGAATGGCAATGTTTGCTTATGCTTATTCTAAAAGGTCAGCATACCCAAGCATATGTGTCTGTATGCACACCTCTAGCAGATACAAGCACATTCATGAGCAGAGGGTGTCTGCAAATCATGTGCATCCAACAATGTGAATAAACAAGGGCAACCTCTGCAGAGCGTAAAGAAGGGGAAAGAGAAAGACAATTTGAGATTTCACATTATGCAAGGTCTTTTTTATTTTCAAAAAACATCATTGTACATGCCGGCGTGGAGCAGGGAACCAGTGGAGAAGTCTGATGGGCCGGCCCCAATCCCAACTACATGGACACCTGGCCCTCCCCCCAGAAAAATTTATTTCAGAGGATGGCATGAATCTGCTGCTCCGGGAGAGGGACATATCTGATCAGAGCACACGGAGCAGATGAAGGGGAGGAGGAGAGAGTGGAGCACATCCTGGCCCACCAGGCCATGAGGACGATATTCCCACACAGAGCAGTCAGTCCACAGAGAGGGCCACATGGCCAGCCCCACTATGAGACACAACGTCCCTCACTGACCCATAGCCCTACAGGGGACATCACTGGAGACACAGTGTGGGAATTGTGCCCCATCTGATCCCGCCAAACTGAGGCAAAACACTAAGGGGGTACAACAGAATAGCAAGGGAACGGAGCAGCGAGGTCCCCAGGGAATGCCGAAGGTGGGCTTTGGGGTCAGGGCTTGGTGCCCCAACAGACTGGACTGGAAAATACTCCTAAAGGCCAACAAACAGTCCTTGAATTAACTACAAGCTTTTCTTTCTGATTGTGTTTTGTTTTCTGTCATTGGTTTTTTGTTGTTGTTTTGTTGTATACTATTGCTTGGTTTTGCTGTGTCTTGTTTTTGTGCAAGTTATCACCTCTGCAGGTCTGTGTAAATAAGCTAGGCTGGATGAACAATCTGGAGGAGAAAACAACGGAACCAAGAGTTCTGGGGGGACATGGGAGAGGAGGAGGTGGGGGGAAAGGTAGTGGTGCTAATTAACAAACCCAGGGACAAGGGAACAACAAGTGATCCAAATCGGTGGTGAGGAGGGTATAGGAGGCCTGGTAGGGCGAGATCAAGGGTAATGTAACCAAGAGGAATTACTGAAACCCAAATGAAGACTGAGCGTGATAGTGGGACAAGAGGAGAACCAAAGGAAATAGAGGAAAGAGCTAGGAGGCAAAGGGCATTTATGAGGTCTAAATAAAGGCATGTATATATGTAAATATATTTATATATGAGGATGGGGAAATAGATCTATGTGCACATATTTATAGGTTTAGTATTAAGGTAGCAGATAGACATTGGGCCTCCACTCAAGTACTCCCTTGATGCAAGAACACTTTGTTCTATAAAACTAGCATTCTATGATGCTCACCTTCCCGACACAATCGCTGAAGGCAAAGCAGGTGAATAAGCAAATGTGGTGAAGAAAGCTGATGGTGTCCAGCTATCAAAAGATATAGCATCTGTGGTCTTAAAGGCTTGAAGGTAATCAAGCGGCCATCTAGCTCAGAAGCAACAAAGCCCACATGGAAGAAGCACACCAGCCTGCGCGATCACGAGGTGTCAAAGGGATCAAGTATCAGGCATCATAACAAAAAATCATATCATTGTGAATGGGGGGAGGGGAGGTTGCGGAGTGAAGACCCAAAGCCCATTTGTAGGTCACTGGACATCCCCTTACAGAAGGGTCTCGGGGAGGAGACAAGCCAGTCAGGGAGCAATGTAGCAACGATGAAACACAACTTTCCTCTAGTTCCTAAATGCTTCCCTCCTCCCCCCACCATCATGATCCCCATTCTACCTTACA